CCAGATGGTGTCCATGAGGTAGTGCTGTACAGATCCCACTTCACAAGTCACCAACGTGGGGCACAAATGAAATGCGCAGACAGTGGGGTTCAAACACACAGAGCTTTGCGTGCAGAGCTGGTGACCATGACCATCTCCTATTCTAGCTTGAATATGCGCAGACTCTGCCTGCATGGGATGGAGACAATGTCGTGAACACGCACACAGACTCTGCCCGCATAGGATGGAGACAATGATGTGAACACGCACACAGACTCTGCCCGCACGGGATGGAGACAATGACGTGAACGCGCACACACAGTGCTGGTTCTTGCCTAGACTGTGTGCAGACAGAGACCTGGGGAATCAACTGACACAGCTGTACTTATGTGGAGGTCAAGGGACTTTCTGTGACAGGGAATAAAATTTGGGGAGTTGTGTCTCTCCTTCCCCTGGATTCCAAGGGTGGCACTAACTCAGATGACACAGCAAGCCCTTTCCCCTGAGAAGCTATTTTGCTGGCTCAAAGTTTTAAATACGTGTGTATGTATGTGTGTGTGTGCATGTATGAGTTTGCATGTGAAAGTCAGAGTTTAATATCTAGTTTCTTCCTCTATAATCTTCACCCTGTTTTCATTTTTTAGTTGCTTTGTGAAGACAAGGTCTCACTATGAAGCCCCAACTGTCTGTTCTAGAACTCACAGTATGAACTCAGAGATATACACCAGTTTCTGCCTCCTGAGTGCTGGGACCTACGTCATGTACCATGGGGCCCAACTTCCACCTTACTTTTGGAAGCTGGAGCACACTGATCTGCTCTGAGACCCCTCTAGCCTCATCCCCTCCAGCACTGGGATTACAGGCCCTGCACAGCCAGTTCTAGCATTCTTTATGTAAGTGCTGGGGATAAACTTGGGTCTTGGTGCCTGCCTGCCTCAGGCATTTTCTCAGCCCCTTTACTGTAAATTGTTTTGTTTAGCATCTGGGATAGACATGCTCCACCATTGAGAACATCCCCCGCCCCCTTGGGAGTTTTGCATTCCTGTGGTTTGTTTTCAAATTGTCCTGGACGTCTTCTCCAGTCTTCAGCCTCCACAGCGCGAGGACACAGGTGTGTGTCACCACGTCAGACTGCTGACATGACAGTGTAGCTGATAACTGATAAGGCCACCACAGAGGAGTCGGAAGGAAAGGAGCTGGAGAGGAGTGTGTGGGCCAGTCTTCCCTACCCCCAGAGAGAGGACTGCCTGATCTGTTGCCGCTGCTCTGCGCTGCAGGTGCCATTCTGCACTGAGCTGCTTCCAGACATTGGGGACACAGACATAGAGGCCCAGCTGCGATGACCATGATAACTACAACAATGTTCAGTAAAAGCAGACTGAACATTTGACTCTTTTAATCTTTGCGACACAGAACTCATTTTGATTGAAATATTGGACCTGAGAACTAAGACCTAAGCTCTCCCCTCAGGGAAAGAAAGACTCAATAAGGAATGGCTGAAGCCCTCTTCACTTAGAGGAGGCAGCCTGGGGGTTTAACTGCAGCGCAGAGCCTGGAACTGGTGTCCAACAGCAGCAATGCCGTTGTTCTCACCCATCAGAAGAGCTTTCCTTGTCTTTTGATTAATATGGATTTAAGAAAACTGTGATATGTTAAATTGTGGATTTATTGTTAATCCCCATTCTAGAATTATGGTATTGACCTGGTAATGTTTGTAGCTGCTTATAAGATGTTGAGAAAAGCTTGACACGCCCTGTAAATGTTTGGGTTTAATGCATGTGTTCAGAATTTTAGATTTTGATAACAATGTAAAAAATTTAAGAGGTGCTCTAGACCAGCTGAAGGAACATTTTCAACTCAGGTGACCCTACTCTCCTATAACTAGGAGACTGTAGCCTTTAGGAGCATGAATGTTCATAAAACATTATCATCTCTCCTGACTAGAAAGTATGGCTCCGAGACACAGAGCCCAAAGGTATCTCTCTCCCCTGTTCTCTTTTGTTCACAGAGGTCGGCAGTCAAAGACGGGTTTGAAGCTTCTTCTCCCCTGGTGCCTAAGACAGGAGCTTGCATGAATGGAATGCCTGTTCCAAGGATGGGTAAATTTGGGCATATGGAGAAGTCTTTACCTAATGCAGACTTGATCATCTGTTCTGTTACAGAAGCACGGGCTTTATTAAAATTAATAAGAGAGAGTGGATTGTAGGGCTGTATTATACAGGCCCATATTTCTACTATGTATGGCGGCCAGAATTTCAGGCCACAGTTCACACCTGGCCACACAGGAGGTGGTCACCTAGCCTTTGGGGACAAACTGACACCATCCTAAACAAAGGGTCAGGATCTGCCAATGTCACTGTGCTCTTTCTTTGTAATTTGGGAGATCACCTGGGAAAGAGGTGTTAATTCAGACTATGTGTCAGAGCAGGCAAAGATAGGAAAACGTGACAAAATGGGCATAGAAAAGTGTGGCCGTGACCACAGTCAATCTCCCTGCTACCTAGGAAACAGAATGCTAATGAATTCCCCCCCCCAAGTCTATGTTTTGGTATAAAAGCTGTTTGGAGGATAAACCTGGGTGAATTTTCAGGATGGAGGATAAACCTGGGTGAATTTTCAGGATGTGAACTCGGGATTTCATGAGGGATCCCTGAAAACTCCCTCCCGATAAAGTCACGTGAGTTGTGCCTCAAAAATCCCACACCTCCACGCTAGTCTGAGAGATAATTTATGGTCCGGGCTTCTCTCGGACAACAACACTTTCTAGCATGATTCGCTAATGAGATAGCCTTCCTTAAAGTTCAGGACGCTGGCTGAAGTGTCTATGGCATGCCCTAGGAAGAGCTTGTCTGGGTTTGTGACAGCATTTGGACACCAGGAGAGCACACATGGGAGCTAAGCCTTCAGTGGACAGAAACAAGAGAGAGGCTGAACCCAGGGCCAGCAGACCCTTCATAACTGTGGAGAGCATCATGGCTGTGACTCACACCCACCCACACCCAACCCGGTGGGCGCTCTGTGCACTCTGTGTGGTCTGTCCAAGTACAATGTAACAATTAGGTTAACTCAGACAGTGCCAGCCAGGGGTTTGTTACAGTCAACCCCTTCCTAAGTGATATAAATGTATAAATACTAAGTCCCAGCCATGAGTGTGTGTGTTCTACAGCCTTCTCTCATATCTTTACCCTGGCACTATAACCCTTTGCTTATACGTATTGACTGTTATTATTATTATTATTAATTATTATTATTATTATTATTTTATACCTCATTCCAGCTGTGTAGCCCAGCCTGGCCTGGAAATTTCAAGCTTCCTGCTTCAGCTCGGATCACAGGCACGTGCTACTGCACCTGGCTGGCGTCGTCTTTTGGAATAGCATTATTATGGTCAGCATTTAGCAGACACAGAACCCAGAGGTAAAGTACCTGTTCAAATGCACGGGCAGGGCAGGGCCCAGTTACAGGGTACACCCAGGAAGACTGGCTCAGAACGCAGGGACATCAGTTAGTGCCCAGTAAACAGACACAGCATCACCGTGGGGCTATGCTAAGTGACACCTCCCATGCTCCTTGGATCTGGGTTCATATCCTAGATCAGTCCTTGCCTGCCAAGCCACTGAGGGAGATGCTGGCCCATCCCAGGGCTCTTTCCACAAGTACTATGAGCTGTAGACACCTGAGAAGAAGGGACAATTTCTTCTCTTGACTGCCAGGTCTTGGGTTAGTTCTTATCCCTTCTTCTAAGAAGTCCACCTGGACATTTCAGGTCCTTTCCTCAGTCCTAACTACTCTGTCTCTTCCAGAGCCTGGGCAAGGGACAAATAGGTGAGTCTACCTCACTGGTTGGTGAGCTCCGTAAGAACACGGCTCAAGGCCAGGCAGTGGTGGCCCATGCCTTTAATCCCAACACTAGGGAGGCAGAGACAGATGGATCTCTGTGAATTCGAGACCAGCCTGGTCTACAAGAGCTAGTTCCAGGACAGGCTCCAAAACTACAGAGAAACACTGTCTCAAAAAACAAAACAAAACAACAACAGAAAGAACAGGGCCCAGGCCACTTCTGTTATTCTGCTGCTGTGTGCCTGGCACAGACCAGCAGAAGGACAAAAGTGAGGGCTGTGGACCAGTCTGATATTCTTTGCATCAGACAGCTGAGGATGACAGCGTTCAGAACGGGGAAATCCCTTGGCCAACACAGAGCCGCTAACGCAGTGACTGAAGTGAAGCCCAGGCCGGGAGCCCGGAAGAACCGGCAACTGTGAATGATGCAGCAGGAGGGAACGAGACACAAGAAAAGAACGACGAGACGAGTTAAAGCACCGCTCTCACCAGCTAAGTCAGAAGGCACAAGGGGTCCGAGTATGAGAAGAAATGAGAGAAGAGGAAGGAAGCGAAAGCGGCCGTGGTGGTTCCCTGAGCAGCTGAGGGCATGGGAGCAGAGCAGCCACTCCTCCGCTCCCAGCGGAGGGCCTTGAGAGTCAGGAGAGCGTGCGAGGGCACTCTTGTTGGTCCGCTCTAGACACATGGGGCCCAAAGCCCTGGCCAGGTGTATCCATGTTGAGAGCACCTACCCAGCTACCTGGGGATGGAGGCGTAGTTAGCATGGGAGCCAGCTGAGAGGTGCTGGTGCAGATCTGTCTGGGTGTCCAGAATGTTCACCTGGTCATCCTCATCCGGACTGAGGTTGGCAGGGTCCGGATTGGGCAGCAAGATGAGTTCGGTGAGGCCATGGAGGTCAGACACATGGTGGAAAGTCTGCAGCACCAGCACCATGGCAACCAGGCCCAGGAAAAGGTATGCTGTAGACATGGGGGAGGGGAGACGGGGGAGACGGCAAGGGATGGGTCAGTTTCAGGCTCAGACTCCAGAGCAGAGACGTGGTCCTACGGGTGTCTCTCCCCTGGGACAGCTGGTTGGCTCTCGGAACCCCTTCAACACCCCTTAGGACAGGGCCATTTCTTCCTGAGAATCCCCCTCTGCCAGCCCACAGATGCCCAGCCGGCTATGCAGCTCACCTGTGACAAGCACCTTGTAGAGGGACCGGTAAGGTTGGCCAGGGGCTTCCCCAGGCACATAGTCCCCCAGGCCAATGGTGGACAGAGAGATGAAGCAGAAGTAGAAGGCATCCAGGAAGCTCCAGGCCTCCTCCAAGTAGGCGAAAACCGCAGCTGGCACCAGGAAGAAGACCGCCACTATGACCACCAGCAGGGCCACCAGGTGCCAGCGGGCTGCCCGCTGGGGGTGCCAGCCCCAGCGCAAGCTCAGCCAGGACAGGGGTGTGTGGGTGAGCAGCAGTGACAGGCGCTGGGCCGAGGCAGTCAGGAGCAGCATGGTGAGAGGCAGGCCCAGGAGCGCAAAGACGATGGAGAAGGCTTTGCCTGCATCTGTTAGCGGGGTCGTGTAGCCATAGCCTGTGGGGAGAGGAGTCCTTCTGCACACTGGCACCTCCACGCCCTGAGGCCCAAGTTCTCCCAACCTCACTGCTCCCCCCTCCTCCCTGGCTCCACTGATCACACAGGTCCATTCAGGCGCTGTGGTGTCTTTTGAAACCCAGGGGAAACCCCATAAATAAACCCTCTGGACTCATCTCAAGGCACTTGCTTTGAGTTACTCACTTAAAAAAAAAGTTTTCTCTAGTTTTAGGGGATCAATCCCACATTAGCCTGGGGCATCTGGACAGGCACTCTATGTGAAGCCCTGGGGATTTCCTCTGGGGAGTTCTAGGCAGGGGCTCTACCACTGAGCCACACCCCCAACCTCTCACTGGGGGATTCTAGGCAGGGGCTCTACCACTGAGCCACACCCCAGCCCCTCACTGGGGGATTATAGGCAGGGGCTCTACCACTGAGCCACGCTCCCAGCCAACTACAAGGAATGTAAACCTTGTATTTTTCCCTATTAGGACTGCTTCTCATCACCTATTTCTTATCTTCAGCAGCATTGTGAAAGCCCCAAACAGGTGCCAGATCTTTGAAATCCTGGACTTCAAGCTGGGCATGGTGGTATACACCTTTAATTCTAACACTCAGGAGGCAGAGGCTGGTGGATCTCTGGAGATCAGCCTGGTCTACAGAACGAGTTCCAGGACCACTAGGGCTATTACACAAGAGAAGCCCTATCTCAAACAAACCAAAAAGAAAAAAAAGAAAGAATTCCTTGACTTCTGGTAAAATGAATTAAACATACCATTGGAAAAGGGATGTTTTTGGTTGTTGTTGTTTTGTTTTTTTGAGACAGGGTTTCTCTCTGTAGCCCTGGTTGTCTTGGAACTTGCTCTGTAGACCAGGCTGGCCTAAAACTCACAGAGAACCTCCTGCCTCTGACTCCTGAGTGCTGGGATTAAAGGCTGCGCCACCATCACCTTTCAAATGTTAATTTTGCTTTTAGGTTTTTGTTTGTATTTCGAGACAGGGTTTCTCTGTGTAGTCCTGGCTGTCCTAGAATTTGCTTTGTAGTCCAAGCTGACCTCAAATTTAAAGAGATCCATCTATCTCTGCCTCCCAAGTACTGGGATTAAAGGTGCCACCACCACCTGGAAGAACCACTCAGCAGAAAAGAGGTGGTTTTTTTTTTTTTTTTTTGAGGCAGTGTTTCCCAGTAGCTATGGGCTATGATGCCTGTTGTAGAACTTGCTTTGTAGACCAGGTTGACCAGCCTGCCTCTGCCTCCTGGGCGGTTGCAATTAAAGGTGTGTGCCACCACTACCTGGTTTAGTAAAGAGGTTTTAATGGCATTGGATTTGTTTCATTTTCCCAGGTTTAAGGACTCCCAGCTTGACTCTCTCAATGACAGTACAGAGCGGCCGTAGACATCCCTGACTACCACCCCTATTCACTTGGACAGATCCACCCACCCTACCACTATAGTCCTCTGAACTGTGTTGTCCACGAGAAATCTTCACCTGTAATCTCAAAGTGGGCATCTATCATATGTCCCAAAGCAGGAAGCCAGGCATGGTGCTCCACACCTGTAAGTTCAGGACACAGGAAGCTGAGGTCGAGGCCAGTATGGGCTACATAGAGAGACCCTGACTTAAAAGAGAAGAATCCTGTTGGTGCAGGGTGTGGACCAGTGTGGAGGCCAGGCTTCAGGGAGGTGGGTAGAGACAGCATTCTTCAGTCTCGTTTAGGAAGAATTCTATTCCTATTACTCCTATGATTATCACCATCATTCTGGGGAACCTGGAGAGGTGACTAGCGCTTAAACGTTCTTGTTCCTCCAGCAAAGGACCTGATTTTGATTCTCAGCACCCACATAGTCATTCACAGCCATCTGTAACTCCAAATCTAGGGGACACTGGCCTCAGACTCATAGAGATCTGCCTACGTCTGCCTCCTGAGGGCTGGAATTAAAGACATGTGCCATACAGCCAGGCAGGATCTACCCTCTTCTGACCTCCTTGGGTACCAGGCATGCACGTGATGCACATATATATGTGTAGGCAATATATATAGTATATTAATAAAATATATTATATATAATAAAACATGCATACAATAATGAATCTAAAATAGTAGAAATTAAATTATGTGTATTTTTAATTGGATTTATTTATTGTGTGTTGTTTATTATACGGCTGTTGTGCCCACAATGCACTAAAACCCATGATCCCCCTCCATCCTCCTGAGGAGCTGGAATTATAGGCATGCAACCACATCTGGGCTCTTTGTAACCTTTCAATTAGTGTATATTCATTGTATAAAATAATGATTTTATTATGACATTTTTAAAAATAACTTTATTTTTATTTTATATGTGTTGGTGTTTTGCTAGTATTTATGTCTGTATGAGGGTCTTGGACCCCCTGGAACTGGAGTTACAGACAGTTGTGAGCTGCCATGTGGGTGCTGGGAACTGAACCCAGGTCTTCTGCAAGAGCAGCCAGTGCTCTTTACCACTGAGCCATCTCTCCAGCCCCCTATTATGACATTTTCTAACATGTATTTAACAATTTATTTATCTCTTGGGGGCTGGGTTTCATTCCAGACGAACTTAAACTCATAGCAATCCTACTGCTTCAGAGTTTTTAAGAAAAAAAACCTTAATTTTTATGTGTATATGTCTGTGCCTGAATGTGGGTATGGACACCACAGGTGAGCAAGAGTCTGTGCAGGTCAGAAGAGAGGCCAACTCCCTGGAACTGGCGTCACAGTCGTGAGCTGCCATGAAGGTGCTCAGCACTGAACCTGTGTCCTCTGCGAGAACAGCCTTAACCCCATCTCCACCCCCACGTCAGACTCTCTGGGACCGCTAGTGTCAGCCACCATGCCCAGCGTTATCACCCGCTCCTCACCCTTTCCTGTGCCACCCCACACTCTTCTCTGCCTTAATGTTTCATTTTAGTAATCTTCCATCACTGGTCCTGTGATACTATTTTGATATAGTCAAGTGTTAAGTTCTTTTAGGACTCTCTCTCTCTCTCTCTCTCTCTCTTTCTCCACCATGTCCCTTACTGGTGACTCCTACAAAGAAGCTTCACTTCTGGCTGAGTCAAGCGGTTCCCCTGCTGTATCCTAGGCAGCTGCTCTACAGCTGAACCCCACACCTCTTTTACTTCTAGTTTGAGACAGGATCCCACTAAATCTCCCAGACAGGCCTTAACATTGGGCTCCTCCTTCATCAGCCTCTGATAGCTGGGACTACAAGCCTGTACCACCAGGTCTGGTCACGTTATCTTTTTTGCATGCCAAGCTATATGCATGAGCCCTCAAACGAACTTCCCTGTTCCTACTCACTGTACAGGCTGGGTTTCAGAACTGACCTCAAAAGATCTGCACAGTCTGGTGGAACCAAAAATCTCAGAGCAGAACATGGTCGAGGTTGGTGGGGGGGGGGCGGGGGAAACAGACCCCATGTTCCGGATCTGAAACTAGGGGAGCAATCCCCAGTGGCAGAAGGGATCAGATTTTCCCCCACGTTCCATCAGGACCGATGCACCCGATACAGACTAGTTCACCATAACTCCTGGTTGGAAGCACTCAGCCTGCGAGTTCCCCAGCCGCGAAGATCCCTTAGCTGCTGGCATCGTGGAAACAGATCTTCACCGCCTCTTTATCATCAGACTTCACTCATGTTTTTGGGTTTTGTTTTTCGAGGCAGGATCTCAGTTGTAGCTTTCGTTGGACTTGTAGTAATCCCAGTACTTCCACCTCTGGGGTGCTAGGACTAAAAATGTGGGTCACAGTGTTCTACACCATCCTAGCTGTGTGACCATGTGACAGCTGGCCAGCTTCTCTGGGTCTTAGCTTCACAGATGACAGACAGACAGACAATAAACGGTAGCTGCCTCACAAGGGTCTTTTACTGACTGAGTTAAAGCCTGGGTGTGGTGAGCCCCTGTCATGCTGAGAAGTGGGGAGTTCTGTGCAGCTTGCAGTTGCTCAGCCAGCTGTGCCTGAGGCATATCTATGTCCCCTCACTTGTCCATCTGCCAGTGCCAGGGGATGACCTGACAGAAGCCAACTCTAGGAAAAGAAAGAGAGAGACACAAGTACCGGCCCCCCACCCCCACCCCCAGGGAAGTCCAGAAGCAGGTCAGGCTGGCTCAGGAAGCTTGGGGAAAGCAAGCCTCAGGGGAGATGGGTTCATTCTTTTCTGTGAAGAGTCACCCAGCGCTGGTGTCAGCTGTTGCCAGTGACCTCGGTTTGTTGCTCACACACAATGAGGGCCCCAATGGGGGACAAAATCCACCCGCAATTCTGTGGTACTGCCAGCCGAAGAAGCGGTGAAGAGTGTGGCTCAGCCTCTGTCCTGTTTGAAGTCCCCAAAAGAGGTCACCTCGTGGCGAGGGAGGGGCTGCAGAGCAGCAGAGAGCCTCTGAGGGGCTTCCCAGGTCTGTGGTGTGAGGATGGGAGGGACTTTCCAGGAGGGACTTCCTAGGGTTCTTAAGGGCTGAGGGTACAGGTAGGTGGGTCCTACCTGAATGTATCAGCAGAGAGCTAATATTTGTGTAAGGTGATGTGTCTTTTTATTTTATTTTCTGTGTGTGTCTATTTATTTTGTGAATGGACATGCCCAGGTGTGTCTGCACAGACACAGAAGCCAGAGGACACTGTCTGAGGTCCTGTTCACTCTCTCTTTAGCTTGTCCCCTCCAGCAGGGTCTCTTACAGAACCGAAGCTTGCTGATTTGGCTCTGCAGCTCCCAAGAAGGAACCTGTCTCTGCACCAGTGCTGGGGTTACGGTTTGCTGTGGTGGTTTGCTGTGGTTTGCACAGCCACGCTCAGCGTTTACATGAGCGTAAACACCCCTCCCCACGGAGTCTTCCCCCTTGTCCTGTTTGGTCTGGCTGAGACAGGGTCTCCACCTCCTAAGTGCCGAGGGGTATACACCACACCCAGCTGGGGAGTCCACAACCTTAAAGCAAGCCCAGGATCCTAGCTTAAGATGAGATCTTGTGGTCCTAGTTCCATAGGAATGAGGAACAGGTGCCTGCAGATTTCATCTGGACTGGGTGAGCTCTCCCACTGCCAGAGCTCCTGAGCCCAGGGTAGCCAAAGGAAGTAGTGGGGCAGACATTGCTAAGATCCTTGCTGGGTGTCAAGGGTGGAGTCAGCAATACTGTTGGGGGGCGGGGGCTCTGTCATAGAGGGCCTCAAGCATCCCGGGTAGAGAGAATGGCCCTGTCTCAAACAGGCTGGGCAGGGCTGTGTAGCAAGTGAAGCTCCAGCTGTAGGGTGTGGAGGAGGTCCAACCCCCAGAACATCTGGAGGATGGATGGCAGGTCCCACTCATAGGTTTAGGTGTTCTGGTTTTGTAGGGTTTTTTTTTTTTTTTTTTTTTTTTTTTGAGACAGGGTTTCTCTGTGCAGCCCTGGCTGTCCTGGAACTCGCTCTGTAGACCAGGCTGTCTATGAACTCATAGAGATCCACCTGCCTCTGCCTCCCAAGTGACAGTATTAAAGGTGTGCACCACTATCGCCAGCCTGGCTTTTGTTGTATTGACGATTGAACTCAGGACTTCACCCATGCACGCTACGCAAGTGTTCTACAACAGAGCTACACCTCGGCCCTTCTCCCTCATGAACTGAAAGAGACACCCATGGCTGGTCCTCGTTTTAGAAAGGGCTAGAGGTTTAGCTGGAGGTAGGTTGGGGTAGGAGTGTTGGCTTGCAGGCCTTCAAGCTGGACAGCCAATAATTCTTCATGGAGGACCCTCTCAGTTTGTTCCCTTCTTACCCCTGGTTGTTGGAGCTGCCAATCCAGGAATCCTGAGTTGGAGTGGAAGAACACTGGGGGGGGGGGGCAGAGAGGGGAGATAGGTGGAGCCCTGTGTCAGAGTGGGGAATATGGGGACAGTAGAGGCATGGGCGCCTTTGATCTGGGGCCCCTGCTGGAGAGTGTCAGAGTGAAAGGGATTCCAGAATGGGTCTCAGGGCTCTCCTAGAAGCCAGGCCTCTAGTGATGGTGCCCTGAGATTCCTGACTAGAATGCATGAGGGCCCGAGTTCAATCCCGGTCCTGCATCTCGGTGTTCCCTGGGGATCTAAATTCAGGAGGCGGCTGAAGTGGGCTGTTCCCAGAAGGACCTATCTGGAGTCAGGAGACAGAAGAGATGGTTGTGCCAGTCCTAATGTGGACACAGCCCCTGGGATCAGAGACACAAGGAAGGTCCCAGGCCCTTGCCAATTATGTACACTAATCCTAGGTCAAGAGGATTAAGAAAGGAGTGGAGCCAGGCCTAGGGGCTCATATCTGTAATCTCTGCATTTTAGGAGGCTGAGGCGAGGCAGGGGGATGAAGTTCCAGGCTAGCCAAAGCTACAAAGAGAGGTGTTATCTCAAGATCAAACAAATAAACGGCCCCAGAGGGGGACCCAGATGATGTAAGAAGTTATGAAGGGGTCTCTACTCTAAGGGAACTGAACTTTTTACTACTTGAGAGGAAGGTTTGGCTTGCACTCTTCAAAAGGGGCAGGGGAGGCCAGTGTGGGTCGTTTTCGTGCTGGGAATAGGGGTTATTTTGAGAGGATCTCAGACCCCGAGATGATTTGAATGAAGGAGTATCTTGAAGGTGCCTGATGGACGCTGGCTGGGGAGTGGGAGGATGGCTCTCACTTACCCACGGTAGTGACTAGTGTGCTGGCGAAGAAGAGCGCTGAGGCGAAGTCCCAGGCGGGGTCCGAAGCGTTGGCGGGTCCCGAGGTATTGGCCAGCACCGCCCGTCCCAGCCGTCCGGCCGCCAGCACCCGCTCCACGAAGGCGTCCAGGGCGGGCGCCGCCACGCACGGGCTGTGCCGCAGCAGCTGCTCCCGCAGCGTCCCCAGCTCTGCCCGTAGCCGGGCTTCGTGCGGCCGCTCCAGCTGAGCCACCAGCAGCGCGCCCAGCGCTAGGTACCCGGCGTAGGCGACCAGGGCACCGGCCAGGAGCGCGCCCCGCCGCATGGTGCCCGCACAGTCCCGCCACCCGCTGACGTGGCCCCCGCCGGCCCACCGCCCGCGGTCTGCTTTTAGTTCCGGGAGCTTCAGGCGCGGCCACCGACGCCTCGAAGAGGAAGAGGAAAAAGGGGAGGAGCGGGGCTGGCGGAACGCCCTGCTACTGGGAAACTGAGGTACGCCCAAACACCAGGTGTGGGGACAGGACCTGGGAGGGTGGAGCCCGACGCTCCTGGATCCAGGAGATGGACGGGATGGGAAGGGTGGCTGAGTTCTTTCCTGCTTGATGTCCCTTCCAACTGTGTTCCTCGCGGAGTGGCAGCTTTTCAACTCAGAATTGAAACTCTCCTCGGAAATGGGGGCGTCTGCCTATAATCTTAGCATGGGGGGAGTGCGGGGGATGAGACAGGATTGCTGCGACTTCCTGGCCAACCTGGGTCAAAGTGAGACGGGCTTTTAGTGATCAGGCCTTAAGACACTTCCCTGACACTTCCCTTACATCCCCAGTACTTGTTGGGATCTTTGCTTTGAGGCACTAGCATGTGGAAGAAGGAAGAAGTTGTGGGGGAGGGGTCGCCATGATTTGGGAACAACTGATCCGGAGTGCGGGTGCATTGTTGGAAGGGAAATGCAAAACTGTCTCAAAAAAAAAAAAAAAAACCTGAAGGATTAATAGATAGATTCCGTGGTGGCTCACTCCTTTATTCCAGCACTCGGGAGGCAGGAGCAGGTTTATCTGTATGAGTTCGATACCATAGTAAGTTCCAGGGCTACATAAAATGACCCTGTCTCAAAAAACGAACAACATTAAACACAAAAACCAAAACAAAATTAAAAGCCCAAAAGATGAACGAGTAAACTTCTGGCGAGGGTATGGCGGTTACATTTAGCATTACAGACGGGACGATCACCATCCCCGAGACCACCTGGGCAACCTAGTGAATACCTGTCTCCAAAAGATGGGGTGGGATGGCTGGAGAGATGGCTAAGTGGCTAAGAGCATTAGCTGCTTTTGTAGAGGGCCTGGGTTCGATTCATTCCCAGCATTCACATGGAGGCCAACAACTGTCTGTAACTCCAGGTCCAGGGGGCTCCCGGGGATCCAGCGCCCTCTTTTGGCCCTTTCGGACATCAGGCATACACATGGTGCACAGGCATAAATGCAGGCAAAACACCTATACTCACAGAAATAAACTAACACATATATTTACATATAAAATCAGGGATAACTCCTAGGGACCCCCTACCTTGATAGAGCCCCAGACCCAGGGGCTGAGATGTTCCTATGTATATTTAAATTTAAAGGTGAGGAGATTGTGTATAGCAAAACTGTCTCCAAAACAACAAACTAGCAAACAGCTTATAGGGCCGTGCATGCCTTTAATCCCAGAATCTGGGAAGCAGAGGCAGATGGGACTCTGTTAGAGACTAGCCTGGTTTACAGAGCAAGTTCTGGGTCATCCAGGGCTACAGAGTGAAACACTGTCTTAAGAGTAAATAAGTAGGTAAAAATAAAAGAGGGGTTTCTGTCATTTTATTCTCCCGTGGGGCTCCCACGGCCCTTTACAGCCTGAACTCAGTGCTCTTCCTACAGCAGCACAGAAGCCAGACCAGAGTCCTGCCCACAACCAGACCACAGCTAAGATACGTGGACCAGGATCTATTTATAAAACTGTGGTAATTCTGGGGACAGAGCCAATTCGGGTCTCTATCCATAGGAAGAGATGCCAGATTATAAAAACAGAAACAATAGCCACAGTGTTCCAGGGTGCAGGTCAGGTCCTGCATATAATATGCCTTTTATTGAGTCCTCAACTCTCCCAGATGATTCCCAATAAACAGATGAAAAAAACTAAGGTTTAAAAATGGTGTACAGCAGCTGGGTGGTAGTGGCACTCAGCTTTAATCCCAGCATTTAGGAGGCAGAGGCAGGTGGATCTCTGTGAGTTCGAGGCCAACCCAGTCTACAAAGTGAGTTCCAGGACAGTCAGACTGTTACACAGAGAAACCCCGTCTCCAAAAAACAACCACTCAAACAAACAAAAGAAAACAGTGCATGGAGCAGCCAGATAGCTCCAAGGCTAAAAACACTCACCCACAAGCCCAGGGACTCACGTGATGAAGGGGAGAACCAACTCCTGTGAGTTGTCCTCTGTCTTCTACAGGCACACGGGCACTCTCATGTCCAAACTCACACATATGTGCATACACATCAAACACAAACACACAAAAAGGAGACACAAGGCAGGAGTGACAGTGCACTCTGTAACTGTAGGACCCAGGAGGCAGGAGGATTGGAAGTTCAAGGTCATCCTCACGGACACAGGGAGCTCAATGTTGTGGGATAGAATACTTGTTTAACTATGTAAAAATGTGTTGCACTTGTTGGTGCTGCATTTGGTTATTAAAGATGTATTGTTTTGTTTATGCTGCGTTTGTTTAACTATGTAACGATGTGTTGCTGTTTCGTTGTGCCTGCCCAAGGCACCTGATTGGTCTAATAAAAAGCTGAATGGCCAATAGCTAGGCAGAGGACGATAGGTGAGCCTGGCAGGTAGAGAGAAAAGGGGAGTCAGCCAGCCAGCCAAGGCCCTGTGAACCAGGGCTCAGCGTGCTGGGGCCCAGCCAGCCAGACATAGAGAAAGCAGGAAAGCAAGAAGGACTTTAAATAGATGAAATAAATGAGCCTTGGGGAAGTATACATAGATTAACAGAGATGGGTTAGTTTAATTTAAAGAAAAAAAAGTTAGCTGGGCGGTGGTAGCGCACACCTTTAATCCCAGCACTCGGGAGGCAGAGGCAGGCGGATCTCTGTGAGTTCGAGACCAGCCTGGTCTACAAAGGAAGTTCCAGGACAGGCTCCAAAGCTATAGAGAAACCCTATCTCGAAAAACCAAAAAAAAAAAAAAAAAAAAAAAGCTAACTATATCCCTAATATAAGGTCGAGCATTCATAATTAATAATAGTTCTCTGTGTCATTATTTGGGAGCTGACAGTCCAAGAAAACCTGGTTTATGAGAAAGTCCTGACACAAACAAATACACAAGGAAACAAAAGGAGTACAGCATGCAGGGTAGTGCTCACTTGTAATCCTAGCAGTGAGGAAGGAGAGGCAGCAAAATTGCCAAGTTCCAGGAGAGATGGCTTAGCAGTTAAGAGCACTTGCTACTTTTGCAGGGGATCCTGGTTCAGTTCCTAGCACCATATGGCAGCTCACACCAATCTGTAACTCATGTTCCAGAGGACCTGACACCTCTGAGGACACCAGACACATGTGTGGTATGAAGATCTACATGCAGAAAAAATATCCATAAACATAAAATAAAAATAAATAAAATATTAAAAAAAAAAAAAAAAAAAAAAAAAAAAAAAGGGAAAAAGAGTCTCAACACTCCCGGAAAGCCAAGTGCAGAAGAGGAAGGGGAAGCCACGATAGCTCGCTTGCTAACCACCTCCTTCTGGGGTGCTTATCACTTCCAACAAGTCACTTCCTCCCATTTTTCTTTGCCTGAGATAAGTGGAAGAAAGAGGGACAGAAAGAGAGTGGCCATGGGTGGTGGTGGCACACATTGTAACCCCTGGATTTGAAAGGTAGAGGCAGGAAGGTCAGAGGTTCTGTTCCCTTTTAGTCTAGTGAGCTCGAAGCAAACCTAGACTGTGTGAGACCCTTTCTCAGAGCAAAGAGGTGGGGGCACATAAAGGAGAGAAAAAGGACACCCGGGGACGCAGAGGAAGTTAGTTTTCAGGGCTCTTTGCTAGAAGGTGCACTTGGGTACTTTCAACTGTGGGGGCTGTATGCATTGTTTTTGGTGGGCAAAAAAGTTAGAAAGGAAAAAAGACACCACGTGAGGACATTTTTGTGAATTTCTGGGAAAGTGCCTAAAGGTATCTACGAAGAAAGATTCCAGCTCTTCTGACCTGACTCTTGAGTTTCTCTTTTTCAGTCTGTCTTGTTTATTTATTAATGTTATTTTGTTTTTGTTTTTCGAGACAGGGTTTCTCTGTGGCTTTGGAGCCTGTCCTGGAACTAGCTCTGTAGACCAGGCTGGGCTCCAACTCACAGAGATCCGCCTGCTTCTGCCTCCCAAGTGCTGGGATTAAAGGCGTGCGCCACCACCGCCCGGCTTTATTTTATTTTATTTTATTTTCCTTTTGGCTTTTCGAGACAGGGTTTCTCTGTGTAGCTTTGGTGTCTGTCCTGAAACTAGCTCCTGTAGACCAGGCTGCCTCGAACTCACAGAGATCCCACCGTCTCTGCCTCCGGAATGCTGGGATTAAAGGGTGTGCGCCACCACTACCCCTATCTCTCTCTATGCCTTTTTTTTTTTTTTTTTTTTTTTTGAGACTAGAGATCATTATGTTCGAAGCTCGGACTGTCTTTGAACTAGCGACTCTCCTTCTTCAACTTCCTTAGCACTGGGAATACAGAAGTAATCCACTACTCTAAACTTCGTTTCTCACCCTAAATACTTTTGTAAGGAGTGCCGCTCTAGTGTAAACGTTAGAGCCGGCATAATTGTGATCATCCACCCTTCACCTTTTTTCAGCATCCCTGGGCTCTCAGCTAACCAAATCGAGTGCCGGCCTGTAAAGAACTACATTTCCCGACGACCTCTGCGCCCAACATTTTCCTTCTGACTTGAAGCCTACTCCTAGGACCGTACCAGGTTCCGCCCTGCTGCCCGTCAAGTACGGCCTCTCCCCTGACGCCCTGAGCTCCAATTACCGCCTCTTACGTAAGCCACCGCCCACTCAACAGGCCTCCCCTTAGGGGGCGTGGCTCT